TTGACCGCCTAGGCCTGGGCGATGCGCCCAGGCCTTTTGGACCGCCTCGGTGGCAACCTAGGCGAGCCGCCTTATGCGCTGGGCGGTCTGCTTTTTTGGACACTGTCTGCAATAATGGCCAATAAGATGGGGGAGAGGGGGTCACCTTCGCTCAACCAACTTGAAGCTGAAGAACCCTTTGGGGGAGCCATTTATTAGGATCGAAAAGGATGCAGACAAAAAATACACCCCCTGATCCATCTACGCCACCTGTGGACAAAAAATACACCCCCTAATCTCTGCTGGGTCTCCTTTAGAATAGATCAATCCATGTGGTCGCACTAAGCCTGGGATTTTAGTTAGATGCTGGGAGTGTAAGCGCTCGTGGGCTACCAGTGCTCCATCAAGAATCTGTCGGTCCTCGACAAAAGCCCCCAGAGTTGAGGAGATCACCCAGTGGAGAACCTCCTCAAGTCTAGAGGCCAAGACTTTGGATAGGAGTTTGAAGAACGAATTAACCAAACTTATGGGGCGGAAGTCACGGAGCTCTTCAGCTCCTTCAACTTTGGGATGAAAGCCAAGAAAGTGGCATTGAGGGCCTTGTGGACAACTCCTCTTGCGTGGAACTCACTGAAGAAGGAAAGGATGTCAGCCTTGAGGGACTCCCAAAAAGAGAGAAAGAAGGCCACAGGGAAGCCATCAGGGCCAAGAGCCATGTCCTAAAGCTTTGACTGCACCGAGGAACTCGTCGTCTGGAAAGGGGACTCTAGCCACCTCGCTTGGGTAGCAAGGATGGTCCGAAAGGAGAGATTGTCCACAACAGGATGGGCGCTGGCTGGCCAGGAGAAAAGGTTGAAAAACAAATCCACTATGGCTTCTTCAACCGGGGGCAACTGGTCAAAAGTTTGGTTTACTATTTTGATATTGATGATGATGTTATCCCTCCTCCAGCAGTTGGCGATTTTCTGAAAGAAAGCAGTGTTTTGATCACCACATTTCAAACACTTCACCCTTGAACGTTGATACCAGTATAGTTCCTCTTTACACAGAACTTCATGGAAAGAGAATTTGCAATTATCACTATGGATCCTTTCTGCCTGGGTTAGGGAACAGGATTCCTTGGTGGCATCCCAATGGGAAGTTTCATTGAGAAGAGAGGCTTTGGACTCAAAGAAATTTCCAAGTAAGGTTCTAGCCCAATTCTTGATCGAAGACTAAAGAAGTCGAAGTTTCTGCTTGAGGCAAAAACCAGCAAAGTCATGGACGTGGGGGTCAAAAGAACGCCCCCACAGGGACAAGTGATAGGATGTTAGGTTCTTCGAGCCAAGAAAGCTCAAAGCGAAAGGGTTTAGGACCACGGGGGGACGAGTTGCTATGTAGAAGGATTGGACGGTGATCTGCGGTGGGAATAGGTAGTCCCCATTCAAGGGAGATAAGGTATCTATCAAGCTTGGACAAGGATGGGTTTTGGGAGTGACTCAACCAAGTGAACAAAGCCCCTTGAAGAGGCATGTCTAAAAGGTTATTTCTAGTCATAAACTCAAAAAATAAAAACATGGCAGGGGAGAAACTGTGGTTATCGTTACGCTCAAATGACCACCTGGTCATGTTGAAGTCGCCTCCAAGACACCAAAGCAGATGAGGGAGGCAGGAGACCAGGTCTAATTCTGCCTAGAACAGGTTGCGGAGGAGGTCTGCGAATGGGCCATAGACAACCGAGAAGTTCCAATCTAAACCGTCGTTAACCAAGAAAGTTCTGATGTGCGAGGTGAGAAATGTAGGGTAGCGTCCCGACCACCCAAATCCCTCTCGATGCACCCACAGACGGTAGCGAGAGCCAACTGCACGATCGAGATCCCCAGATTTGGAGGATCAAGGGGTGTGAGGGCTCGGGAGACTTCATTTCAACCAAAGTAAGCACCGCTGGGCAGTGAGAGCGACAAAAGTTTAGGGTGGACATGTGTTTTCGGGGGCATAGAGCGGCCCTCCTGAGACGGCGACCCTGGCTGGGACCAGGGGAGCCAAGGGTCTAAGCGGAGACGCCTAGGGGGAGGGTTGAGGACTTGATATTTGATGGAGATCAGAGCACAAGTAGCTACGAGTATCTTCTATGGGAGCCACATATTCCTCCTAATATTCGCTAATATTTGGGGGATGAAAACCCTAGGAGGGCTTCGAGAAGAACAAGAAGAGCAAGAAATAGTTTTGGTTTTTTTTAGTTTTCAAGTTATATTTAAGTTAGGACCTTTTGGTCAAAAGCTAAATTGTATGGACAAATATTGTCCAAATCAATAATTTTTAATATAAATAAAGGCACGGATGGGCTGGAGAGTCATTCATGTATTCTTCTTTAAGAAAATAAAGACTTTGTCCCGTAAAAGAAGCTTAAGGCTTGAGCCCTAGGAGGGAGAAAACCCTAGGGTTTCTCCAAAATTGTGTGCTTCTTGCTGATTTTTCCATGTTTCTTCAAGTTCTCCTACATCAATATCATAGTTGATATCACAAGCCAGATTGGCAAGCTCCCTCCTACCTCTACGAGACAAAGGGACATCCTCAAAGGCAAAATCTAAAAGGGCTTTCTTGGGGCCCTTGAACTTGAAACCTATAACATCCATAACTCGGTCGAAGTTACCTTGGACGCGATCAAACTCGTCTACAAATCTGGAATCCACCAAGACTGAGGACACAGAGGAGGCACACACTACCGAAGACTCCGAGGGTGATAGCAGCCAGTTAGAAGTTGAAGAATGCGACTAATCAGTAGCCGAGGAAAGCGACACGAGAGGCCTAGCTACGAGGGGGGCCGAATAGGGAGCAGGCAAGGCTTGACCGGGGGGGTAGGTGCCTTCCTGTTGGCCGCTGAAAGGGCCAAGGAGGGCGACAGATCCGAAGCCCTAGGGAGCGACACGAGAGTGCTAACTTTGAGGAGTGGCGAAGAGGGGTTAGGCATAGCTTGGAGGGGGTTAACCACCGGAGGAGGGTGGGGCTCTGAGAGCCTAAGGGATTGTCGGGGCTGTCATGGGGAGGCTCCGGGGGTTGCCATGGGGGCAGTCTCAAGGGCTGCGGGATAGGGGCAAGGGGAGAGGGGGAAAAGAGGTTGGGTTGAGGGAGATCAAAGAGGAGCTGAGAGGACAAGTTCAGCACAGGGGGAGCCGTGTGAGGAGGAGGAGGAGGAGGGAGGGAGGGAGGGAGGGAGAGAGGGAGGGGGGGGGATGGCTGAGCGAAGAAGTGGGGGCTGGGGTGGGGAGTAGAGAAGCAGTGCGAGGGGGAGGACCGAGAAGTAAGGAAGAGGCGAGGAGGAGGTCGAAAGACGGGGAGGGGTCTGTCCAGGAGGAGGTGGTAGGTGGAAAGAGGATCTCAGGATGAGGAGCACTGGAGGCTACAGGGGACAGGAAAGACCTTAGGAGAAGTTGGCGCAATGAAGGGGATGTTGGGTAAAGGCATGGGTTGCAGGAGGAACTTGAATTGGGTAGAATCTCATATGGTTTGAATAGAATTTGAGAGCTGAAAGGGCAGAGGATATTTTTTGGCTGATCTGTGATTGGGATGCACATGTCATGCTTTTGACTGGGTCTACCTTCTAGCCACATAAAGCTTCCTCCTACCAGCTACCTTATGTCTATGAGTCTTCTGCAAGTTGTTACTATTCTGTCATTTTTCCTGGTGGACTACGAAGCCCCCATTCCATGATCAAGATCATCGCCATGGTCAGTATCTGTTTCTCCAAGCTGCCTTTGTTTGGATCACCATGGGGGTTAGGTTCAACAAGGGTACGGTTAGGATCTAAATGGTACTGGTTATCTCTGGATATGGCTGATTTCTATAGCATGAAGGTCTTCAATTAGGGAAAGAATGAATCAGGAACCTGGATTGGACTGTAGAGAGGGTGATGAGTGGTGGATGGATATTCAATAAGGGTTGCTCCATGCCCACGGGTCACATTGCCGAAGGTATCCAATTCACTATATTGAAAACCTTAACAATATTCAAACCTCCTTATCAACTTCGTGATGCCACGCGTGCAAAGGATACCCTGGGCTTTAATCCAAACTTTGTGAGTTTCCTGAGCTCCAATGGACAAGGACCATGGTTTATGGTGGAGGGAAGCTCCTTTGAACTTCATTCGTGTGGTTTTAAGGGCTCGCTGGATTCATTTTGTGATGGGAAAAAATGGAGGAAGTTTACCCCTATGAAGTGCTAGTTCCACAAGCTCCTCGTAAATGATGTATTGATAGTGAGATCTTACGAGGAATGAAGGCCCCAAGATAGGAAGACCTTAATAGCACAAGCCTGGCTGATCAAGGTGATGGAGCCACAACATGACGTCAAGGGTTCCATTGCTACCCATTAACATGTCCCCCAAAAAAAAAACACCCTATTAATATTTCTTCGCTTGAGTTCAATTCATAGCTAGCTCTGGGTGAACACGTTCTCATAGGTAAAATTTACGGGCATGGATTGGGAGTAGGAGTAAAGCCTGGGACGAGGAATTGGGTGGCAGAGGGAAAGTGGGGATGGAGATTGTTCAAACCAGATGAGACGTTTTTAAAGGGGAAGCTGATGGTTTGGGCCTATGGGATACTGTGTGAAGGGAATCTAGGCATATGGTCCTTGTGGGTCGGTCTACTATGATTCATAGGTTACTGTTTCAGAGGGGCATTGAAGGAGTCACTTTCTCCACAGAATTTTTTACCGGATCATATCATAAGAAGGTAGTTGCTGAAGTGCAGAGAGAATTGTACTCAATTCTACAGGCTCCCTCCCGCCTGCCCTCTTCTTCTCCCCCCAACTCCCAGCCCTTCCCTCCCCCCCACCCCCTTCCCTTTCCCTCCCTTCCCTCTTCACTCCCTCCCTGTTAGTTTTGCTTTGTCATAGGTAAGGAGATTTCCATGAGGACTTCCATATATCAATCTCTCTTGCAAGCTGGATAGCATTTTATCACACTAAGGCTATAGGAAAGAAATAATACTATAATTTAAAGTAATAATAAGGGCGATTTGGATCTTCAGTTTTTTACTCACTTTCTTAATATTAAGTAGGCGAGAACAACAGTAGCACTTCGACTTCTTCCTTCAAAACAATGAACCAAAACTTTTCCTCCCAAACTCTCCACGTGTTCAATGAAGTCCGAAGCATCTTCAAATAGATTGTTGATCTTCGCATCGTCAGTGTCACATATCTGTGCAAGAAAAACATGATATGTCAGACTAGATAAACAGTGAACACTACGGAAAAAAGGAAACAAGTCACTAGGGGCAGCTGAGAATTAAAAAAGAATCAGTAAAACATGAACTCATAACGGTAGAAAGAATTTCCCTTTTGCCCTTAATTGATGGGTAAGAAAATAAACTGACAAAGGATTGACACAGCAAGTTCCTCACGGGAAAGTTCAATTCGCATCATTTCCCAGAAGAACCGAGGATTTTAAGTCCAGGCCTCTCAATTTCTAGCTTTTGATCCAACAAGAAAGTATGAGATGTCGTAGAGGATTTGAATGGACATCAAATAGAACCAAGTTTACATAGATTTGAATTAACAACGAGAGAGAAATCTATGTCAAGGAGAATTGAGAGAAAACAGGTTTTGCTCACACAAAAATATAGATGAAAAAGTACCTAAATCAGACTTTTTGATCCAACTCGACCAAAGATTCATCGATTTGGATGAAGAACAGGGGATATTTTATCCTAGAAATAATTGTTTCGATCAATTTTCCATCAAGTATAGATCGGATGACACACTTGCTAAGTGTGTAGACCCAAACGCGCCTTGGCTACTAGCCGAGGCCGAGTGGACTGGACCAAGTCCAAGTGGACTCGGCCACGTCTTTGAACACTACACAGAAGTGTAGATGTTGTATATCTATGAAAAATTGATCAAAATGTTGTTTTCTTAAGAGAGATGATAAAACAGGATGAGGGAGGAATGGATTAAAAGACAGGTTGGGTGAAAGAAAATTAAAAAAAAAAAATAAGAGGACCCCAACGATGCAAATGGCAAAACTGAGCGATTTTTTAAAGGAAAATGGTTTAATAGGGCCGCAGCCCTGTCAAAATAAGTAAAACCTTACTTTATAACTCATCGAAAATTGCAATTCAAGCATTAGAAAACCTTACATCGATCATCTTGGCTTAAATATTATGGTTGTGATAAAAAGTACGATTTCAAGCTCTAAAAATATGGTTATTGTAACAAATTATCTAGACCGTCCATTTATCCCTAAAAATAAGTGTTCATAAATTCGCAAGATCTGTACCATTTTTTTAGTTTTGAATTTCATTGTCAGTGTTGGAAATTGATTTTAGTGCCATCATGGAGATTTCCATTGCCGAAAGTGCTTTTTGGATGAGGATTTGCGGTGAGGATTTATTTTGTTTTTATAGTCTGGGCCTTATAGAAACCTCATCCTTTTTTAAAACATCGCCCGATTCCTGATTTTGAGCGATTACCCAGTTTGCTACAGTGACCAGGCAATTGTGTGCAGTCTGGTAGGGTGCACTGGTTCAGGCCCATCTGGAACCAGTGACTGACCAATGTGGAATCAGTTCCAATCCCGACTTTTTATAAAACAGGTTCTGGCAAGGAAACTCTAGTACAGCAACAATCGCATGGAAGTACTAAGATTAGGAGGAGTTCGGGAATAATGACCATGGACATCCAGGAAATCAGAATAGGACAAAGAGGCATAAAGAAAAATAGATAAAGCACTAACTATGCTTATTTTGAAGTTCTTAGATTGATACGTGAATCTGCAAGACCACAACTTACCATGAGAAATTTGAGGAAACACTACTGGATGGATTGAAGGGAACTACCAGCTAAGAGCCATAAGCGCTTTCGGTAGATACTAATCTAGAGCGAGGAAAGCATGGATAAAAGCTCTTACTGAGAAATTCTTGTACTCAAACAGTTCAGGATACTGAGATTCTGATTGCCCAGTTTCATTTGAGCATAAGCACAGTATATGAGTGATGCCCAAGTATTGGAGGGTGTGCGCAGATCTTGCGGCCAGTGCTCCACCAATAAACAGGTTACCTGTAATTGAAGATGGTCTTTCTGTATTCGCAGCATCAGATATCAGAGCTATCCTCTCAAGAAGGTGGTCAAGCCTAACCTGCAAAACCCAGAACCCTATAAGTATTCCATTATAAATATATAAAAGAACTTGAGAGTACCTTCCACTCAAAATCAGTAATAACACCCACAATGGAAGAGCTGGATATTACCTTCAACTCGTATGCATCAATGACACTGTTGTTATCGCTTCCTTCAAAAAAACCAGTGTGAAAGTTGTTGTCTTGGCATAGTTTAACTGCCTCTATTCTCAGCATCTCATTCCATTGCTCTAACTCTTTGCTTAATTCTGCATCTAACTGAGACAAAATTCCCATTAGCAAGGTCCCTGATGCATAAGAACCTGAAGAAATTCCACACATATTCCACAGATTTCCTATAAAAAGAAAGAATGTATTTTCCTTTTCTCTCTAGAACACATCTAGAAAACTCCAGCACTGTAAATTGTTTCCATCAATTTGAAAACTATAATCAAATATACTTTGAAAGATTGGAATAGGTATGGGGTAAACTGCTTTTTACGATGAGAACATAGAATATATGAATTAATAAATAATACAGGTCTGGCCATATTGTAAGAAATTTAGTAGCAGAGAAGCCAAAGTGCTGAGGCCACTATTAGAAAATATGGAATATCATCATAACATGTATCAGTTTCCCCGTATATTATGCTCCAAGCAGGGAACTTAAAAACCACATTTAACCCCAGAATTTACTTTGGCATACCATCAATAAAGTAGAAGTTACCTTGGCATATTTGTTGAAGTCCTTAAGTTTCGTTGTTAAGCGCAAGCTTCGAAGAGGATCTCCACCTCCTTTAGAGTATCTCCCGTGCCAATTTTCTCGTGACACAGGGGAAGCCGAGTCTGGGCTCTCTTTAGAACTGGAAGAAGATGACTTGAAAGAAGGTTCACTGCACTCTGCATGGTTTTCTGGTACATTCCGTTCCTTATTAAAAGATGACGGAAAATTTTGGCTAAAACCAGAAGCTTGTGATAGTGACTCAGAAAGCCCACACTCCTCCTTCTCATTGTCTCCTGTTGAGCTTTTATTGATTATCAATAAGAAAGCTCGAAGAAGCCCATCCAGTTTTTGGTAAACAGTTAGGAGGAATATTTGAAAGCTCTGGAGCTCCCTCAGAGCAGCACGAAACCCACCACGAAACTGATGAACAATCATAGCAGTATCAGAAGAACAAGGTTCCACTTGTCCAATACATTCTTCTGGGACATGATACCCTAACTTACCCGCAGATAATTCATGAAGCAAATTTGCAGAGAACTCGGAACTATTGAGGAGGAGCTCTACCAACTTTGGATACTGAACTTGGTCATTTGCGCGTTTACCAGCAGGGGGCCTGCGAGGGACTCCAGAATCGATCGCCACAATATGAAAATCGCCAAACTGGGTATCATGAAAGTCAGAAATCCCTGAATCTGTACGAGTGGATTCAGGGGAAGAAGCCATAAACTCGGATGCATCAGAGCTCTGAGATATTAAGGAATGTCTACCAGGACTCAGCCTACTATCAACTGAATAGAATCTTCTCTCTTTCTGGAGAGATTTTATAATCCTGTTTCTTCTTGGTACAACAAGTGCATCACCCTGAATGGCTTCCATATCTGGAGAGGCCAATTTCTCCGCAAATAAAAGGTTTGCTGGGTTTCCACGCCACCCAAGTTGGCGACAGGGAAGCCTATCTTCATTCCTAAGAACAAGGTCCAACAACAATATCCTGCCTAGAGCTGAAGCTGTCTTTTCAGCTACTTCCTGGAAATTGAAGGCATTAATGCTGTCTAAGAGGGGGGGCCCATGAACATAACTGCAAAAATAAAGCAGACTGTTCATAGGAGTCATGCGATATACAGTGTTTCTAAATGTCAATTTAATGTCAGTTTTTTTCTGGGATAGGAATTAAATAAGAATGGGATGAAAACGAAAAAGAAAAGGGGGAAAGAAAAGAAAGAATTAATTATCAAGAGAAATGAGCTGAGAAAGAGAGCAAAATGTGGTAGTACTTCATAAGAAGAAGGCATCGACTCAGTTCAAGGGCTTCCAACAATTCAGAGCATGTCATCTCCCCTACTTCATCACCTTCTGCAACTGCAGCCTCTTTTGCTTTCCCAGCAGCATCCTTGATTCTTTGCCATTCTGGATTACTGTTATGAATAACTCTAGCCTGCACTATTTTTTTAAAAAAATTCAATTAGAATTATTGAAGTAGAATGGAATTTCTCAAGACAGCTTCAAGGAGCAGAAGAGACGCACTTGTGGTGTTTGGATTCCTAGCCACTTGGCAAACTCATAACCCAAGCGCTCTGATTGTGTTGCCATCCTAGAGGAAGAAAATTTTATAACTGCTGCTGCTTCGTTTGGTATGAGTTCATCGCTCTCAGGTCTGTTGAACAAGGCAAAGAAAACAACTCCCCCAGAGTTGACAGTTACCTAGATCCATAGAATAGAAAATGGAAATAAATGCGACAAGCTAGTAAAAAGGATGCATAATGGAAAGTTAAGGCATTGTCTTCAGAATGACTTGGCTCAACATTAACTGAAGTACTACTCCATTTAGAATCAACTAAAACGCAGAATGGAACTCTTTTAAATCCAAAGGAAAGTAATCAATATCAAATTTAAACTATAATACATGGCATACCAAGTTTTTTTTTTTGGAAGTTGTAATACATGGCATACCAAGTTTATATTGTATTTTGATACTTCAAAGTTCAGAAGGACAAATAACAACTGTGGGATTTACCATCCACAGAAAATTATTATGACCATATATACCACATTCTTAATAACATATGAGCTAATAACACGGCAACGTGAACTATGCAGGACAACATCAGTCAACATACTGAAGTTGAAAGATAAATTGCTTCCACTGAACAAAAGTAGGCTCATTGTCATAATGGCCCTTGATGTCCAAGTCATATAGTACCACTAAAATTTCTTCATCAAAAGTTTCTTTTTCAACGTAAGACTGCACATAAAGATGAGAGAAAGCATTTAATTTTCAAAATGTTCAAATACCTCAAGGGGCTTCATCATTTCCTCTTCAGATTGGTCAGTACTGCTACTGTGTTCCGTATGGTGCAGAGATGCCAGCAAGTCCCAAGAAAATTCACTTGACTCAATGTCCAACCGTGCAGCTTTGCCTAGTCTCTCCCACAAACTGATCTCTGGGGCATGTTCGGACGGCAATGAATCTACTGAATCAACATCATATTCTCTTGATCTGTAGAAAAATTTTGAAAAAACATCACTGTCATTCTGGACTTGTAGAATGCCATTACTCTTGGTTAGACAAGATATCAAGGGAAAGAGTTTCCCGAGATTCTAGAATGCATGGTCAAACAACATGAAAGATATATTATATTACACATCTAAAGATATATTACACACATACCTAGAGGACAACGCAAAAGACTTAATCTATGAGCACATAAAGCAAAAGGTTTAGCCAAGCATGCAAGCAACTTCAATCGATACATAATGCAATTGAAAGAATCTACATGATTGGGAAAAGAGAAGCATGAAATGAGAAATATATGTTCCAGTTCTTGTCTTCTGGATATTCATATCATAAGATGATCCGAAAATGGAACACAATGTAGATGGACTCAAAAAAGACTGTAGGACTAAGTCTCGAAAAACAAACACAAGTCACTGTGAAACACAATCATTTAATAGTCACCTGTGCATCCAAAAATCTTAAGTACTCACCAAGATGAAATTGTTAATTTACAACACCAATAGGCATACCCCTCAGCCAATAAGCACACAAGAACAACTCATAACTAACTGACAGTCGCAATGCCCATGTTGAAGAGTCTACACTCATGTGTTCCCTTCCCCCCCCCCCCCCCTTCCCTCTTTCTTCCTGAAGTAAGCAGGTTTTTTTCCAGGTGAGTTTATCCTTCAGAGAATTTGATGGTTTAGGGTCAGAATGTGAGTCACACTTCAATTGGGTCATTTGATTTCCTTGATTTGATGTAGCACATCTTAATTGAATGACTAGACTTATTTGACTCATCTCAGAACCCAATGATCATCAAATGTCACTCATGGGGATTCTGCACTAGTGGACGCATCAGGCTGTGTGAAATGATGCCAAATGTCTAGTCAGGTGAGAATCACATACGTGAATGCTAACATCAAGAACACAATTCAAAAAAAAAGAGAGATGTGAATACCTATATGTCATACATGCATGCAGCCTCGACTAGCACCATCAAGAAAACAAACCACCAACAGTTCTGATTTTCTGAATGATAAAGAGGTCATGAGTATTACTTCCCAATATTCCACTTCTTGGTCCAGCAGCTTCAAGCAGCATTCACTTGCCAATATCTATGAGTCCTTTTTTTTTTTTTTGGAAATTCAGTATTTCTCTTTAAATTTACCAAATTGATGTACAAGTATAGTTCCATGAACAAAAAAGAGACTACTTACATCAGAGTCTAAACATCAAAACAATATAAGCCAAAAGAAAGTAACAGTCAAGGAGAATTTTTTTTCTTTTTTTTTAAATTGTTCACTATAACAGTCAAGGCGAATTTAGTATTCCTTCCTTCGCCAACGCATCTGCTTCTTCATTTGCCTCTCTCCACGTGTTTTAATGATACCATGAGCCTCAGATTGCTCATATGTTCCAAAATTTCCTCAAAACTGTCGTCTAGCTTCCAAGGGCAGGATCTCCCTACACCAACATTAATCCATTCCACCACAAGTCAAGTTTTCAGAGACCAATAAGTTATGACCATGCCTCGACTTAGTTAGCATCAAAAATCTGACGTGGGCCGGAACATGCCATCAAGGTTTTGCCAAGTGGTCCCTTACAATGCCCCACACACCTGCTGGGCATGGATTCCTCATAAACTTCCATGAAAATTCAACTTGAATACCTCACTCATAGGAGGGATCCAATTTCTAGGCCTCTTTTTTTTTTTATATTTGTTTTTATCATCTCTTTTCAATTGTTTTGCAAATCATCCACCGAGACTCCCAATATTCCTTTTATGGTATGCTTTACTTTCCTTTCAAACTTTGCAACTCAATCCTTCTTATGTAAGAAGAATTCAAACTTTGCAACTCAATTCTTCTTATGTTGGGGCGATTTGCAGCCCAGATCTTTTATCATCAAAACATATATATTCTCTCTCCTACTACACGGTCCATGACAATGCCAAAAGTGTCAATCTCCATGGGATATGACCTTCTAATGGAATTAGAGGGTTCAACCATCATTTTAGAAGCGCCTCAGTGCAAGGGGGACAACCGATAGACAAAACTATCATAAACAATGAGATTTCAACGAACTATTTCAATAGCAGCATGTTTCAAGATTAGCAGAGTAGTGCAGAAAAAGTGGTTGACAGTTTCGGCATCACTCTTGGGCAACGTGCAAATATTTGGAATGGCCAAACCTCTATTCTTGAGGAAACCAACCGTCAAAACCTTATCTAGTGCATCCAACCAGGAAAAAGCCCAAGGTTTCAGTGGCCCAGGGTGGAGCACACTTTGTGAACAGAAAGGTTATCTACCAAGAACCAGGTCATTGTGTGATACATGGACTTGACAAAGTGTTCACCATTGCAATCAGGACTCCACATAAGTCTGTCTGCCCTGTTCAGTGAGTAGATCTGTAGCTCTTCCACGATGCTTAAAAAAGCCCCAATATCATTATCCTTCAGATGTGCATCTTCGGCGCAAAGTCTATGATTTCTGTCCCATTCCTTGGAGTACATCCGCCATCAGGGTGTTTGGGCCCATAGCCAAATGGTATAGCTCTGGGTAGACATTGGCTGGTTTCCTGTCCAAAGTTCTAGCTAGATTTTGGTTTTGCGTCCATTTCCAGGATGAAAACTGATGTTGCTAGCAAATTTGGAGCAACAATTGTTTACTCCATTCCATTCCCTGAAAAGCCGTCTTCTACAATGAGGTTTCACCATCCCTCCTAAATTATCATAACAATATTTGCTAGCAATGAGATGTCTCAATAAAACAGATTATGAGTTTGTTAAAGAGATAAATCAATAGCAAGTCCGATATCTAACAAGGGGGTAATTCCATGAACAAATATGTTTGAACTTGAATTGAACGGACGCATAGGTTTTACAAGCGAATGTACACAAATATGTGATGAAATTCTATATCCAAACAACAAAAAAAATTCAATCATCAACTTATATTGTCTTCATATTCTGCCTCAACTATAATTGTGAGCCCCAACTTCATTTAGAGGCTGTCGAAAATTGAAATCTCAAATCATTTGGGCAATAATTCTTATCATATGGTTAGTTTGAAAGTCTAAACATTAGCAAGTGAGCTGCAGCTCCTATTGTTCAGCATTCTGATACTAAATGTCATTTCTGGGTCATTGTATAAATTCGAATATTTTATTTTCAATTACCTTATCCATGCAATTAAATACAAAATCAACTGTAATCTTCCTTTTTTTCCCTTCTTTTGCGTGTGTGTGGTGATGTTGAGGGATGGGTGGACGGGTGCCTAGGTAGGTGTGGTAAGTTAAAAGGAATGAGGTAAAACATCCAGGGTCCTTGCCCAAAAATCTAAGTCCTATCCAAAGCCCAATTTTCTTCTAAAGAAAAGCATCCTTAGGTAAGGAGCTATCTGAAAATAAAGGTGGATTTGAAAAGGAAAATGAGAAAAACCTGGCATGATCGGAGGGCAACAGTAATGGCATACTTGTCAATCTCGATGGTCGATTAGGAAACCCCGAAGATCGATACCTTCCACTCTGTTTACGCACAGATTGTAACCATTTCGTGAACAGATAAGCAGGACCAGCAGATGAATCCCCAAAAAGAAACATAACCTGAATCACCAAAAAAACGACCTTTCCACCATTAAAATGCAAGAGAAACAAAACCAACAAATCACATTTACCAGATTAATCCATTGTAAAAATGCAAATAAAACTAGAGATTCATCTCCCAAAATGAACTATAATTTCTAATACAATGCCATGACTACCACTGCCCATAAATCCTTATGCAAATGAAATTAGGGCTTCATCTTCTCCCAATGAAACACTAGAGATGCAGGCAGTGCCGTAACTACAATTGACCCAAAATCCTTATGCAAATGAAAATAGCGGTCTCTCTTACTAAAACACTGGAAGCTGAGACAGCGCAATAACTTTAATGAACTAAAGATCCATATGCAAATGAAAATAGAGCTCCATCTCTCACTGAAAGACTAGATGTTGAGACAATGCCATAGTTATAAAATTGGAAAAAGAAAATCCTTATGCAACTGAAACTAGGGCTCCACCTTCCACATAATCACAAGTCATTCAGGCAATGCTATGATCATAACAGAAGCAAGCTGCTTCTACAATCATATATAGGCTCCATCTCCCACTGAAACACCAGCTCTTAACAAAATTCCATAACTATAACAGACCTAAATCCTTACAAAATTGAAATTGAGCCTCCATTTCCCCACTGAAACCCCTGAGTTCGAGGCAATTCTTTAAAAATCCAACAGACCATGAGATCTGCATAACTTAAACCCTAGTATTTGAGAAAATGCTCCACGAAAAGTGAGATCTCCAACAAAATCACTAAACTGAAACCACAGGGCTTGAGAAAACGACCAAACACTACAGAGTCCAAGAGATCTGAAACAGAGGGACTTACACAGGAAGAAACAGAGGGAGGGGACTCTTCTTCTAAGCTGATCTCCTTCTCTTCTTCATCTGGTTCTTCTCTTTCCTGTAAAGAAAAAAGAGGAGAAAATTTGTGCAGCATCTCTGATAGGGTTGGAAAGAAGAAAAACGGGATTAATAAATAGGTGGAGCGTGGGGTTACCTGAGACGCTGTCATCATGCCACCAGCTTTCTTCGCCTTTGCTTTTCTTCGCCTCCTTTTCTGGTACTCACTCGTAATAGTGGAGGGGTTGTATGCTTTGTTTTGGCAGTAGAATTTCGCGCCACAGATTAAGGTCGAAGCGAAAACAACTCGAGCGAGTGTGCCTTTTGGCTCAGCCTTTTCAATTGATTATTAAATCATATTGTGAATGTGTAAATGTGCTCCCATTGGAGCATAGTGTCTATTTACACCCCATATACTTGTAATGAGACCCAGATTTTCGAATTTAACATCTTCGCCTTAGCAATTACCCTCATCAGATTACACTTTGTGAAGTAAGCAGCGTCTTAAGATCAAAGATAAACCAAATTGTTGGGTGATTTTTATTTTTATTTTTATTTTTTGGTTAGCATCTTAAGATCAAAGATAAACCCAACTTGTTGGGTGATTTTTATTTTTTAGGTAAATTTTCGGTGAAGTTTAGTGTGTTAATGGTTAATACTCAAAATCTATTTCTTTAAATTTGAGATGGCAAATTTATTTCCCGTTGTCTTGTAAGGTACTCAGTATAACATATACTCCCCATGGAGCATATTACACTTCTAGTACTTTATAGAAGCGATTGCGCTCGTACCACGTAAAGTGTACCGTAGTTTATTTGCATAAAAAATGCTTCGTCAATTTGTTGCTTTCGGTCCGTTATGCAGTTGTCATACGTTAGTGATTATTGAAGTGATAACCGGTTTCCGCCGCTTAACATTTCCCGAGTTCATCGGTTTCTGCCTCCCATTGAAATAACGAGTCCGAGTGTACATGCGCAAGTGGTGCAGAGATAAAAAGTGTTAACAAATAAAAAATAAAATTTAAAAAGAGTTTTTAAGACAAAAAAAATTTATCATACTTTTTTTTTTAAAAGACAAAAAATAAATAAATTTTAAAAAGAGTTTTTTAAGAAAAAGTTTTATAGGTTTGCAACCTTAAAATATGGAATTAAAAATGCACCTCAAAAATTCATCATAGAAGGTTGTTTAGATGTTGGAAAACTCTCTAATTGATCATCTCCACATCGAGATATATGAATATGAAAAGAAAAAAAGATTTGGAGTTTACAAAATAGTTTATCTTGCAACACATTATCTAGACCGTCTATTTTCAAGATTTTCATCTATCTATAGATTTACTTGATTTGAACCATTTTTAGAGTTTAAAATGTTATAACTACAGATGAAAATAGATTCTCAAATCATCCTAAAAGAATTTAATTTCAAAATTATAGTTATGATAAAATGTAGAGGTGCGCCTTAATTGAGTTGTTTAATGTTGGACCTCATGCAAACCACACCTTTTCTATTAAGGGTATGGCTTCTATAGGGCTGAGGCCCTAAACAAGCAAAGTAGGGCGTACTTTCAAATGGTATTAAAATAATAAATCTTTGTGATGGCCTGAAAATTTATTTTTATCGCTAATCATAAAATTTAACGCCTCAAAAATAGTTAGATAGAGCATATCTACGAACATTTGAAAATCTTGAAAATTGATGGTCCAAAAATACATTACAAGATGCACTATTTCCAAAATTTGAAATCTATTTTTTATCATGTCCATGCAACTTGAGGTCGTGATGATCAATATGAGGATTTTTTGGCATTGAAACGACCTCTTCTAGTAAAATTTTTGAAGCACGTCCTAATTTGATTGTTTAGACCCTCGCACTTATATAAACTTTTTCCTTCTAATAAATGTTAAATAATCAAGCACCCACCTCTAACCATGCCTAATGCTGCAGCACAAATACCAAAAAGCATTGTTATGACCTCAAAATCTATTTTGATCCCTAATTATAAATTTAAAGATCTATAAATATAATAGATCAATAAGATCTATAAACACTCGAAAATCTTGAAAATAAACAATTTGGATAATACATTATAAGACGTGCTATTGTGATGATTTGAAATCATTTTCTTTTCATGTCCATATATCTCGAAGTTGACATGATCAATTGAAAGGTTTTTTAGTTCCAAAGCAATTTTTGTCATTGGCTTATTCAGATGCATTTCACTTCTATAATATAAAGTTGACACTTTATATAAACTTTTTCCCTTTATAATACTTTAGACTAATGAAATCTAAAGTTATGACTTTAGGCTTCTCTTTGCCCATGTGATAATTTAATCATGGCAAATGACCAAATTACCTTATGAAATAAAAAAACCAAAACTTATACTTTCTTTCTTGTAATAAACAAATGAATTCACATTTCTCTCTAAATACATGGATGAATCTTGTTCTTCTAAGACCAATTTGGATTGAGATAGTGTAGTCTTGTTGTGAAAAGGATTGCATGATAGGGTTTAGGTAATGTGGTAGTCTAGATAGAGAGAAAGTGTGTGAGAGAGCAGAGACACTGGATGGAGAAAGAGGAAGGAGAGAGAAGACTAGAGGAGTCTTTTTGGTGGTACAAAGAACACAAAGCGTGAGACATAGGAGAAAGCATTTAGAGAGATAACAAGGACAACTATAGCTCTTTGACTATATTAATGAATGGTCTCCTTGTAATCAATAGAGAGAAAAGATTATCACCCCAACTAAAAAAAGTTCCCTTACAGGTCATTATCTAGCTAGAACGAGATATCGAAAAATCAGTGATTAAAAAAGCGGTCACCTAGTGCCTAGACAGTCTCCCATGTAAGCCTAGGGCCTGGGGACATCACATGACCCTAGGCAGCACTTCCAGGCTGGGTCCTTGGGTGCCCACCTAGGGACAAGCTCCTAGCCTTGGGCGGGTGCTTAGGGGTGAAAATACCCCTCTAAATTAAGGTGGGAAAGGGGGGTTCAATTTCTTATACAACCTAAATCCCATTTGTGACATTTTAGATAGAGAACTTCTCTCCCTCTCCAAACTTCCCCTTTCATCCCCATCCACCGATGCACACATGTTTTCTCTCATTTTTAGGCCAACAACTTTGAGCCGTTAAAGCTTGAGGCAATGCCACTCAAGGAGAACAATCATTAAACCCCAATCTAGCTTCACCTTGACACTTCATATTGACATAGAGATAAAAATAAACGGGAAAGGTTTCTATACATAGCCTACAATATAGAAGATATATGCTTCCCTTACCATCCAGCCTTTCAATTTTGATCGAGAGTGCCACTTACCATTTGATCTTAGATATGAAGTCTCAAAATATTTTAGTTTTTTTTTATACAAAGTATATGAATATGAAATTTGGCCCGTGCCATCTTCTCATTGGGGCACACCTATAAAAAATATTAAAAATATTTTTCTATAAAATATAATGACCAAAATGCCTCTTGAAACTTTTGAGGATATTTTGGTCATTTTATTTTATTGGAAATATTTTTTTTTATATATTTTTCTGCTAGTGCAAGTTTAATAGATGATTGGACCTCCAAAATTTGATGCCAAAATAGTTTATAGAAAAACAATTAAAAATAAAATACTGTAGAGCCGTGGCATTATGATTGGGGCAATCTTAACCCTCCATTCAAAATGGAAGGTTGGATAAGGGAAAGTATATAAGTTTTATGATGTAGGAGAAACATAGAAAGCTTGCCCCAAACAAATATGTTTCATAATATAAAATATTCATATGATTATTTTACTACATCTTATCTCCTCAAAGTGAAATTTATGATGTTAAATCGATGCAAAAATTTGAGGGGTCACCCAAGCTCACTAAACATTTGGTGGATCTTGGCCTTCAGGAAGGTATGCTGAGTTCATTGAGATCAGCAAACACACCAGAATCGATTGTGAGACATACCCTGTGGCTTGAATTTTGGATTTGAATTTGGAGAAGAGGGAGAGGTAGGAGTTGTGAGAGTTGAAGTAGTTGTGGAGCCAACCTTGGGCATGGTTGAGCCTGCACGTGCGGAAAATTTCGAATCCCTGACGCTTTTGCTCTTTCTTCATAGAACTTGTGGCTTGGTTAATAACAAGAATGACATTTAGATTGAAGCATCCTTTGCCCTATCTCTGAATTTTATTTGGGTTCAACTAAAGATCATGTACTGCATTGAAATGTTACAATTAACGCCATTCACTGCATAAAAATCCTAAGAAGAACTGGGGTTTAGAGGAGAGAGAGAGCTACAATTCATCCAATTTATTCTTTGCCATTGCTCTCAAATATCAAAGATCGAATTGTTAGTAAAGTTACATTTTCTAGAGAGACCTTTCTTAAGGCGAGAGAATCCATCAAACTATTCAGTGCTCTAAAATGTCAACATTCATTTTTCTAGGACAGAAGTGGCTGGCATGAAAGGAGAAGCTTGGAAATCGAAAAGTTCCAGGGGTGGAGAGAGAGAGAGAAAGAGAGGCCCCTTTTCATATGTCTAGAGGTGTCTCCTTTGTAAAGCTTGCCTCAACTCTTCATCTTTCCCTTCTATGTCTGATAATGGGCTTAATTTTGTTAATGTCATATTCTAAGGGCTCTTAATAAGCAGCTGCTAATTGTCCTTTCTCTGCCACGTGTTTGCCAGAAGACATAATATGCCATCTTCTAAATATAAATGAACGTGGAAAAAAAAAGTACCTCACATATTTTATGGTAAGCTGACAATAGAGCGAAAAGATCAACCTTCTGAAACTTTCTGCTGTGCATGCTTGTTTAGATGGTGGGGATTAAAAGGGGCTTAAAAAAACATTTAAACAAGCTTAAAAAAAAAGAACGAAATTTTTTTTATAAGAGGGAGGTTTTAGGGGAATTGGGTTGAGACCTATATCATACAAGAACTTGTTCAGTCCTGGATGATTCCCAATCGAATTCACGATTCAGATAAAAAATCACCAGATTTTAAGACACTGCTTCAAACTAATGATGGCGTGGGCATGGTCATCTCAATGAAAACCACTATGGGTAAGAATATCTTTCATAGCAAAATATTTTATTTTGACAAGTGTTCAGTTATTATCTAGTGTTTTGAACATCGAAACCTTTATTAGTTAAGAACCCGTTTTCTATGCGACCAAGCCCGTATATGCGGGCGGATTAATAAATCTATTTTTGAGAT